ATAAAAGCACCTTGCCTGTTGTATTCAATGAAATGTGTATGAAAGAAGGATTGCTGCCTAAATACAAAAATTATATATATATATATATATATATATATATATATATATATATATATATATAGATATATATATATATAATTTCCAACGAGAGAAAAGTTGTATATTAAAAAGAAGTAATCTGTAAACGTTTTTCGTTGTAATGTTCTTATTTTAAAAATATTATGCTTTATTTTCCATAATTTTACACACGAAATTTCTGGTCTCATATATAAAGCTTCAGGTAAAAAAATTAATATTTTCATTGATATTATTAAAAATATATTTTTTTTTTTTTAAGTTTTTCAATGTTAAATATTCTCGATATGAGACATTTTTTTTTTTTTTTTTCCGAATTTCTTTCTTGAATTATAATATATATATATATATATATATATATATATATATATATATATATTTATATATATATATATATATATATGTTATATATATAGGATGTTAAAAACATAAAAAATCGTTACATAATTTTCAGTTAAACATGTTTCAAATATACAAATGTGTCTCCTCATTTTACATATTAAACTTGAACTCTTTTTTTGATTAAATTTGATTCTATAATGGAATTATATTAAGGGTAATAATTTATTTTATATATATATATATATATATATATATATATATATATATATATATATATATATATATATATATATATATATATATATATATATATATATATATATGATTTATTTACTTTTTCAAATATATAAAATTCTTTTCTTCTAAATCCTTTTCCCCATTTTTTTTTAAAATTTCTACCTTCTTTTTTTTTTTTTATTTTATTTTATTTTTTTTTTTTTTTTTCAATAACTTTGATCCTATCTCGATACAAAATTTATTAAATGATTTTTTTTTTATTTTTCCAAATCACATTGTTTGGTATTTGATTTTTTTTTTTTTCAATTTTTTTTTTTTAAATGTCCTTTAAAAAAATTGATTTTTTGAATTTCATTCATTTTTTTTTTCTTTTTTTTTGATCAAGTTTTTTTTTCTCTTTTTTTTTTTTCTATTTTCTTTATTAAAATTTTTAAAACTTCTTTTATTTCATTGCTTTTCTGTTCAGAGATTTGGAAATTCATTCATGATTGGAAATGACTCAAATTTTTAAAAATAATATAATTTATCAATATCATTTTTCCTTATCTTTTCAACACCTTGAATAAGAAAAAATAAAACCACCAATCACAATTTATAAATTCTAAGGTTATTTTCAGAAAAATCCGTCGTAAAAATTTGAAAATTGACAGGGAACGGATTTTTCCTAAGCAATGAAAAACACCTTTTAATTTTTTCCTTTCAGTCCAATTCAAGAAATAATGTTGGATATATAGTATCCACCGTTCCTCTGTTTATTTTTTTCAGGCATCCGCTGATGAATTTTATTAAATATTTTCATTAAAAAAATCCAAACTTTTTTTTTTAAATCTCGTGCTTCATTTTTTCACGTGGTTAATATCAATAAATGTTTTTTAATACTGATTTTTGCTCATTTTACCCTTTCATTTACAGTTTTTTAAATTTGAATATTTTAAAATATAATTTAAAAAACTATATTTTTCAATTCCATTTTTTTCTTATATATATATATATATATATATATATATATATATTTTATATATATAATATATAAATATTTATATATAATAATAAAACGTTAAAACATAAAAAAAATCTTAAAATAATTGTCGGATTATTTGTCTATTTATAATATATATTTTTCAATTTTTACATTCATATTTTTTGTATCTTAAAACATATAAAATCGAAAAGATTTCAATTTAAACAACAAACAGTCAAAAATAATCGAAAATTAAAAAGCGTCAAACTATATGACGGTTTAATAATATAGACCCTATAAGGTTCGAAAATATATTAGAGAATTTAAAATTTTTTCTATCAAAATTTTTTTATACATTCAGGCCGGTAAATGTCGTTAATACTGTTTTAAATATTAAACATTTTTTATTTTATTATTTTTTATCTATAAAAAAAACAATAAAGAAAAAAAAAAATAAAATTATTTTTCTAAATTTTATTATATATATATATATATATATATATATATATATATATATATATTTATATATATATATATATAAATATAAATTAATTTGTGCCAACATAATTTCTTCACAATTTGCCTTAAATCAAAAATAATGTTTACATATAAATTTTTTTAAATCCACATTTTAATTATCAATAAAAATGAAGTTTATAACTAATCCACATATCTGTTTTTTTGATCAATACAAAAAATATAGGAAATAAAAAAAACAATTTAAAAGGTCTAAAGTTAATATGTATTTACAATGTTACTTAAACTAACTACAACCGAAATAAATAAAATAATTTTTTTAATAATAATTATGCCTGTGGAACAATTGTTTTAGAAAAATCAATATAATTGAACGAAATTAAATGAAAAATTTTTCATAATTAAAACTCAATATTTTCCAACCACTTTTTTTTTTTTAACAAATACATAAAAGAAACTCCCCAAAATACTGAAAGTATTATTGACGCATCCATGAATTTTCTTATAAACTGAAACCTTTTAAATATTACTTAATATAATTTAGGAGCAGGGTGAAATATATAAATATAAATAGATCCAAAAAAAATTTAAGAGGCCAATGAACTTTACATCTCTAAAAAAATAAAAAAAACTAAAGATTAAAAATCCTTAAACTAACCGACATGATTTTGGACAGGGTTGCCATGTTCAATTCATTTAATTTAACAATTTATGATGCCTAATATATTAAAAAAACAAAATTTAATCAAAACAGCCGCGCAAAGAAATTCAAAACCTTTTTTTTCTTTTCTGTTATTTTTGTTAAATTCTTTATTTTTTTGGAAAATTCTGAATGCTTAAAATAATTAAAATCATATATTTGATTTTACGTGTCATTCTTATTGCTCTCATAACAATTCCATTTGAAAAAGGATCAATGTTCAACATTCGTCAAAAATGTGTGTATTTGAATTGTTTTGACAGAACTGGCCTCAAATAAATCTCTACAGAACAAAAATAGGACTTCGAAATATGCATTGAAAAAAAAGGCAATACCACCGCCAAAAATTAAAAACAAAAAAAAAGTTTAATTTCCTACAAATTTTTGAATTGTTTTTTTTCGATACAGAGGGCCTCTAGAATCAAAATTTTGGTGAATAATCCCTCAAATAATTTGGTGGCAATTTTAATCCAGGTTTATCCAAAAATATATAAATTGAAATCCCTTTTTTGTTTTTGAAAAAAATCAAATCATCTCCAAAAAATTGAAAAAAACTGGCACAAATAATTAAAATGTGGGACAAAACCTTTTAATATCTTTTAATAAAAAGCCCCTTAAAATTTTTCATATATAATAACATTGAAGGTAATTTTCCATAGTATATGATTCATAGGTAAAATGTTAAAAATCCCCAAATTGAACATTAAATTTCATTTGAAATTTTTAATCATTTCATTTCTTATAATAAATTCCTTCCACTGTTTTGCCCTTCACCATCCGATTGCTGAAAATTACTTTTTCAAAATACGTACTACAAGCGTATATTTCGAATCCCAAAAGTTAAACTTATACCAGAACCACATCAGGAAAAATTGGTAACAGGATTTAAAATTTTTTTAGTTAAAATGATATTGTCTTTCCATAGAATAAAAAGGCCCTAACTAAATTTAATTAGTTTGGCAAACGGGCGTGGAAGCACGTTTTCTAATTGAAAAGGACTATCAGGTTGATGTGAAAATAACATTTCATCCCTCCCTTTAATAAGATTTAAATATTTTATCTTAGGGACCACATTTAACTTTTTACCTTTTTTTTTCCATCAAAATATGAACAAATAATTCATTTAAAAAAAAGATTTTACCGAAAGATTTATTTGCATATCTTTGAAATGATTTTCCGTCCAGAGGAAAGGCTTTCTGAAAAAAATACCCATTAAATTGATTAACCGCAAAGTTTACAACTTAACGCGGTTGATCGTCACCGTCTCAAAAATTTTAAAAATTTTTTTTTCCGAATAGTCCATGAAAAATTACCATGATATATTTTTTGTTTAAATACAAATACACCCTTGTGCAAATTAAATGAAACAACGCTTTAGTTTCCTTTCTTTCACCATACGGTCAGTTTTAGACTCACTGGAGTGACAGGGTGTAATCGATTTCTATTTTCAGATTAGGTCATTTGCAGTGGTGTGAAGTAATATGAATCTATTTTCGGGGTGTATGATGAAATTTGTTTGGCCTTGAAAAATATTGCGTCATCCGTGATTGCATCAGATTTTTATCACACCCAGACACTAATGTCTCGACTGTCGATTAGTTGTCCTACGGCCATTGTCTGCGATGGACGTTACTCAAAGGAAGCGTACGAAAATTGTAACGCTGCACGAACACACTGGCAAGCCTTACCAGTGAGCAAATCAAAGTACTATAGACTGGCCCGGAAACTCTCCTGATTTAAATCCAATCGAGAATCTGTGGTCACTCTGCAAGGAACGACTTCGTGGAATGGACATACGAAGTACTAACATGTGCACTGGCTCATGTTTCATTGGAAAAATACGAAAAAAAAAAAGCAAATAATAACGGAATTATTCGTTTTGTTTCAATTAATTTGCACAGAAAATGTCTAGCACTTCACAGTAAATCAAATCTAGCAATTGATTCGATAAAACCATTCTATTTTATGTCAACGGAAAACGTTAGCCATAATGAGATTAACATTAGCTGATAAAAGGTAGAAAGGATTCTCTGGCGATTAATAGAAAGCAGTTTCGGTTTTGATGCGTTAAAATGAACAAGGCATCCATTACTCCAGTTAGAATGTAGGTCTGAGATAATCTGCCAATATGACCTTATCGAACTAGATATCAAGTTGATAAGACGGCTTCAGCTAGTGAATGCGACTAACGAAATTATTGTCAGGAGAATGAAAATCAGTAATCTACCTCTTACGGCAGAGCTTCGGACTTATTCTCTGCTGATTTCCAACTACACATCACTGGAGCTCCTGCCACGATACAACAAAATAGAGGCTCGGGGGAAATTAAGATTTACGCATCTGATCAAATCAAATCATTTTTAACGCATTAAGAACATTCTAAGAACCGTTCAATTTTAGACCATCTCTTTAGTCTTCCTTGACTCTTTTCGTTTTTCCTTTTTTGTTTATCTCTTAAAAACTCTTTCCTTTCTCTCTCTTTTCTCTCTCTTTCTTTCTCTCTCTCTCTCTCTCTTGATCTCTCTCTCTTCATCTCTTTCTCTCTCTCTTCATCTCTTTTTCTCTTTTTTATCTCTCTCTCTTTATCACTGTCTTTCTCTCTCTCTTCATCTCTTTATCTCTCTCTGTCTTTCTCTCTTTATCTCTCTTTATTTCTTTCTCTCTTTATCTCTATCTCTCTATTCCTCTCTTTCTCTCTCTCTTTATCTCTTTCTTTCTCTTTCTCTCTCTCTTTCTTTCTCTCTCTTTATCTCTTCATCACTTTCTCTCTTTCTCACTCTCTTTATCTTTCTCTCTCTTTATCTCTTCAGCGCTTTCTCTCTTTCTCACTCTCTTTATCTCTCACTCTATTACTTTCTGTCTTCATCTTTCTCTCTACCTTTCTCTCTTTCTTTATCTCTCTGTCTCTCTTTATCACTTTCTCTCTATCTTTGTCTCTCTCTCTTTATCTCTCTTTGCTTTTTGTTTTTCTCGAATTTGTGTTTCTCGTTTAGTTTATCACAACACTCTCTCCTGTTGTGATGTTATTTTTTAGCCATATTACTCTTGGACATAGAATGTGGAAAAAAAACTTGCTCGCACTTCTCGCCTGTGGAACTCCCTCCCCTCTTCCTGTTTCTATGATAGCTATAATCTCCAACTATTCAAATGTAATGCCAATCGACGTCTCCAGATGCCCTGATCTATCTCCTATCTTTCTCTTCATCCTTTCCTCTATCACTCCTCTTTGTTCCCGCTCCAACTCTAAATAACCCCTTGCGTGCTAGTGGCTTCCCATGACTTGCTTAAATTTATGAAACGCTTAAAAAAATATCACAGGAGACAAGAGAAAATTAGGGAAATAGCGAGTAACCAAATGAATTAAAGTTTGAATGAATGGTTGACAGAAGAGGGAACAAAATGGCCAAGAGAAGAGCTTTAGGGACAAGATTTACTTAGAGTAACAAAAGACGGGAAACTGTGAAGCGTCGTGATTGAACAATATCCTGAAAGGACAGAGTATATAAAAATGAAAACTGGTTATGATCATTTCACTTCTCTTCTATTTTCGATATTTTTCATAGCTCGGCCTGGCCGTTTGACTTATTCCAAATATATATATATATATATATATATATATATATATATATATATATATATATATATATATATATATGTTGAAATTTGCGATAATATCAGAGGAAACAGACCAGTAATAGATGTAGACAGTATGGACAGTAGAATCATATAAATTTCATGCATCAATGCTATTTTCAGATCAATGAAATGAAACTGACATACTTTCATGTAGTGTTGATTCCTGTTGTATCCTCACACACGGAACACACACACACACATATATATATATATATATATATATATATATTTAAAGATAAAGAAATGAAAGAAAGAAAGATTTGAAATTTTAAAATAAAGATAGAAAGAGGAAATTTTTTAGAGAGAGAAATTATATAAAAAACTAAATAAAAGCACCTTGTCTGTCATATTCAATGAAATGTACATATAATATATATATATTTCATGCATATAATATATATATATATGTATAGAAAAGAGATTTTAGAGAGAGAGTCTGGAATAAAACAAAAATAAATATATATATATATATATATGGAATATCTCTTCACAAATTCCATTTTTTATGCTTTGTTGGATATTTCCCAGCAATCATATCATATATATATATATATATATATATATATATATATATATATATATATATATTATGTATATATATGTGTGTGTATGTGTGTGTTTATATATATATATATATATATATATATATATATATAAACATATATTGAAAGATATAACATACAATTGATGTTTATTATATCTGATCATGAGCCGTTGCAATGTTCGAATGTTTGCTTTAATTTCTGGTGAAAATAAAGACAAAAATCTTCTAACATTTGGATATTTTTTTTATTAAGTTGGTTCTAAACTTTCGGCTCACATGAGCCATCCCCCAAGTCTTTATACAGACATGAAACAAAGATATCCACCATTAAAAATGATCTTAATCTTAGGACCAAATTAAAAAAAAAATCCAAATGTTGGACAATTTTTGTCTTTATTTTCACCCGAAATTAAAGCGAATATGATCAGACATAATAGACATTCATTGTCTGTTATATTTAATAGCATATGTTTAAAAAATGATCTGCTGCACCAAAAAACATATATATATATATATATATAGATAGATAGATAGATATATATATATTTATATAAATAAATATATATGACAAACAAACCTACACAGAATTCACCTAAACGGATCGTCAGCCAAATTTCCCTGACGATCCGTTTAGGCGAAACCTAGGTAGGTTTGTCTGGCTCACTAGGTTTATCTAGGTCTGCTCTACGGTTGTATTGAGCTCTTTTGTTAGTTAGTTGTTTTACTCGTGTTGGGGTTTTTTTGTTTTTGGGCTTCAAACCTGCATCTGTGCGATTTTTTTTCGACAGACTTTCATGTTTGTAGCTCTTTCTTTTTAAAACCTTTTTTGCCTTCGAGATTGATTTGATTATTGGCAAATCAAAATTCGAGGGTTTTTTCAAAACGAGTATAGTTATCTATATTTGTATATATATATATATATATATATATATATATATATATATAGAGAGAGAGAGAGAGAGAGAGAGAGAGATTAGAACGTTTCTTTTAATATATATATGTGTGTGTTTGTGTATGAAGAAATATAGTTTTAAGGTATGCTATATTTATGACATGAAGTGCTTAAAATCAGAGATAGAGCGTATGTAAATATAAAAGTGAAAATTGAGGTCAACACTCAGGGGCGAAGTACTGTTTCATGCTAGACGCAATCGTCAGGCCATGCATGAAAGAATCTGTCACCTCCTAGTATTGACTTCTCTTATATATATATATATATATATATATATATATATATATATATATATATATATATAAAAGTTTCAAATTAAAAATTATAAATTTTTATGAAAGTATTTATTTATTATATATATAAATAAATAAATACTTTCATAAAATAAAACATTATAATTTTTAATTTGAAACTTTTTCTATATATACATATTAAGAAAGTATACGTGGCTTCTCATTATGCTATATATATATATATATATATATATATATGGTGGCACGTAATGGATAGCGGCTCCGATTGAGGAATCGAAGAGTCGAGCTCGAATTGCTATTACCTTTGGGAAAGGTATGAATCCAGCTCTTCTACCCAAAGTATTACCAAGACTGAGTCCTATAACTTTGGGTGGCGAACGGGTCTAAGAGAAGAACAACTCTGAATTCAACCCCTGCGAAGGGGCCGTTTGGGTGACGTTCTAGCCTACTGTGCATCAGTTATCTCTATTCGGCTCTTCCAAAACATGTGGTTCGTTCTGCACAAGCCTTCATCACTATAATCGAATACCACCCACGAATGCTATCCGCACGCATAAAAGTAGTTCAATAAATTCAATAGGCATAAAATGTCTACTCTTTTAATTAGCTTTTCCTTGAACAATTCTTTTCAATACATTCTAACTTCAATAAATTCCATTCTCTTTTATGAGCAGGAGCAAACCAGCCTTCATTTTCCAGTCTCGATAGAGTTCAAAAGCGTCTCTGCGTCCTTGTGGGTGATGAATTATTTTCTACATTACAATCCCTTTCCTACAGACGGGACGACTTCGCAAGCCTCTCGCTGCTCTGTTGCTATTTCCATGGAAAGTGTTCAGACGAATCCCATTTCTTACTTCCGCCAGTTCTAAACTTCACGGCTAAGACCCGCCATGCCACGCACGTTGTAGTAAATCATTTTGGTGAGTGGTAATTTCTACTAGAGTAGCTTCTTCCCACGAACCACTGATTTGTAGAAGCGACTCCCATTAGGATGCTTCGCCGATAACTGCAATCTTATCCTGCTCAAGTCTAGAATTAACTATTAACTCATATATAACCATCATCATTTAGCCTCCCTATGTTTGGTCGGAACTCCACTAACAATGCATTTCCACACTGTTCGGTCCTATAATGCTGTCCCCAGATCCACAATGTTCAACCCCGAGTCCCGAGCTATGGTGTCTGGGAAGTAAATTTCCGTGGGAAGACAATTCCTGAAGGATACCATTTGAGTAAGTATGAGGTTATTTCCCTGTCCGCCCGGTGGCAGTGGCCGGCAAACTGTAACGTTTTCTGTTTGAACTCAATAGAGATTGGTCTCAGTTCTCCGTAAATTTGTTTGAAGCGTTGCAAGGGCTCTCCGATTAATGTTCCGGATTTTTCTAAGTAGATTTGTGTCACCTACAAGAACACGGAGACGCTTTTGGGGCTTTATCGAAAATGGAAAGTAAAGACTGGGCAGTCCCTGCAAATACATGGTGTCCATAAAGTTCGTGTGTACTTTAAAAAATTTATAACTTTAAAGTGCACATGGATTTTACGGACACCCTGTATATGGCAGCAGTACTTCATTTGCCACCAGATCTGGCTCTTGTAAAGATAGAGGATATCAGGAGAAACCAGGTATTTGCTGGAGTGGTACGGGGAGTCAACAATATTTTGCAGGCTCTTTAGCTAGTAAGAGTCGCACTTGAGCTCTGGGCTGGGTTTAAGTCCCAAGAGGTGCTCAAAGCACTCAGCCTCCCTGCGGAAATCATTCATCGCTATTGGAAAAAGTGATAGATCAACGAGAGGCTTGCGACGTCTTGTCTTTGATAAAGGGGTTAGAGGGTGGAAAATAATTCATCATCATCATCATCATCATCATCTTCCTTTGACTTCCCTATGGTTGGTCGGAACTCAATTGACAATCCCTTTCTATACTTTTTGGTCTTGTATTACCGTCCCCAGATCCCCAATGTCCAACCCTAAATCCCGAACTATGGTGTCTGGGAAATAAATTTTCGTGAGAAGACAATTCCAGAAGGATCCCATAGGAGTAAGGATGAGACGATTTCCCCGTCCGCTCGGTGACAGTGGTCGAAAAACTGTAACCGTTTTTGTTTGCGCTTAAGAGAGATTGGTCTCAATTCTCCGTAAATTGTGTTTAGCGTTGCATATTATATCCCCATAAACTGTGCCTCTTACTCTGTAAACCTTTACCTTGAGTGGTTCTCGGGCTTTGTACAGGAGAAAGATCATTGTCAAAATATTAAAACTGCATTGTTTAATTCAAAATTATAGTCACACCTTTTACAATGAACGACTAATATATTTTTGTGTTCATTTAGACTTAAGTTCAAATTCTTAAATGTTTCAACTGTGTATTTTTGTGACATCTGCTCCAGGTCTAATGTTGCTCTTATTTTGCGTTGTATTAATTAAATCTCTTATTGCTTTTGAAGTAATTGCAACAAATTTTATATTATATTTACATAAATTCTTTTCCTTTGTTGTAGCTATTGAGTTGATACACAGTAATATACTAACCAAACGCTTCCCCTTTAGCTAAATGTTATAGCATGTCAGGCTACATGACGGTTCCGTATAGGATACAGGTTTAAGTTCTGTCGGAGGACATATATTTTCTATGAAA